TTATTTATTTATACATATGTTTTGTTCTGGGTGTTAGGTTCTGCTTATTGCATTTATGACACAATGCAATAAAATAATAAAATAAACACATTTAAAAGATAAGAGATCATTGTAAACTTTGATTTATTTACATAATGATTCCCCCAGCTGCACTCTTGGCCACTCCCACTTCTCCGCTCTGCACGGAGATCAGAAGATCAGCTGCAGGAGGAAGCTTCTCCCACAGCTGTGGGCTGCACACAGGTGCTAAATAATTTAAAATAATTTATTTTAAATGAAAATTCCATGATGATCGTGCGGCTCATCCGTCAATCAGCCAATTGTGTGTCATGTCCAATCTTACTTCGAAAAACCGTGATGGAGCGAATCTGTGCAAAACAAACCGTGAAGTAGTGAGGGACTACTGTAGTTCAAAGATCTATCTACAACAGGTAAGATATTAGTTGTTCATGTCATTCCCACCAAACTTCCATTTAAATTATATGTAGGAATATATAAAACAAACTTTAAGATTAAAAAAAGTCAGGTTGTTTTTAACTGTTTTACTCCAGACAAATATAAAACATAAATGGCTGAAACTCAAAAGGAGATCAAAGCGTTCAATAAACTTTGTTTTATATTCTCACTTCTGTTCAGATCTGGACACTGAGAGATGTAGCCCTGTGGCATCACCAGGATCTCCACATCCTGCATCACCCCCTGCGCAGACAGACACACAACAGAATGTTGGATCAGTGCGACTCAAAGAGAACACACAGGTTGCACCAAAAAACACACAAGTCCAAAAAGATGGCAGAGGGCACTGTGTGATGAACAGACATGAACACAGATGGGTGAAGCTGTCTGCGTCCACTCGTTTACTTCAAATTGAGATAACGAGGGGCCAGAAATGACAGAAAACATGAAACGATCAAAACACCTGTTTGCTAACAGTGAGTGGGTGTGTGTGTGTGGGGGGGCGGCGGGGGGGTGTCTCACAGCTGAGTGCAGCAAAACAACAAATCAGAGTTAAAACACGTTTTTGTTCTGAGGAGAGAAGTTCTGAGGAAATCTGTGCTCGAGGTTGTTGCTCCGATGAGTCATCTCATATCCAGACATCAACAGAAAGTTAAGCAGTGTGGGAGTTTTACAGGGTGCATGAAATACTTAGTTTCCTTTTTTTAACTTTGATAAGAAAAAGAAAAAACCCCGGAGTTACAGATTAAATTGAATACATTACTTCAAACGGATAGCCTTTTGTTCTTTGTGTCCAAACACCAAACCGTCCCAGAAATACACGAGTGAATGCAGATGCTTTGTTGCCAAGGTAACCAGGGTCCAGTTCACTTCTTGAAAGCGTTTATTGCCCTTACAGAAGTGGAGCGGTGCAACTTAGGAGAAATTGTTTTTTAAATTGTCTTGCCACTTCAATTTACTAGCCATAAATTTCAAATCCTGCGGAAAGGACTCGTCAAGTTTTCACAACCAAGTGCCAAAATGGAGGCGGATTGGAGATCAAACTTGTAATGAAACCATAAAACTATACATTTATTTGGCAGATACGGTGAAATTTTCATGGCAGGCATCTGCAGCCAACTTGGTTTGAACTGTGATTAACGCAACCTTCTGTGATCCTTCGAGGCCGAGACGAAGCAGGAGTCAGAGCGTTTAGCTCACTAATGGGACAAATTTGCTGGTGAAACTGAAAACGTGAGTGAGGTTTAGTAATAAGATGGGTTTATATCAAATCTGTCACATTTTATTAGATCAGTTTCAAAGTGGATGAGAGCAAAGCTGGTGTGAAACAGAAAGGAAAAGAGCTGTCAGTTGTCTAATAAATGAGCTGACAGATGAAAACTAATATCCTCAGATATTCTTCGGAGAGTTACATTTCACTAAAGAGAAGGTGGGGATTTATATGAAAGAGCAACAGACAATATAACACAGACTTGATAGATTATAGTATGTAATGCTACAAGATGTAGGAACAATTAACCCTGGGGTCTTAAAGCAGAGCCCATGTTTTAATGTAGATATAAAAACAGTCGTCACATTTAAAACTAAGACATAGACCACAACCCCATCCAAAACAGAAAACTGTGCAGAGCACTGAATAAAGAGCTTATTTAAATATTCTATGGACGATGCTCTCTGCTGGCCTAATAAGACAGCAACATTGCCTGTTACAACATTTTTTATTATTATTTTTTGTTTAAAGGAATACGTTAGTGGTGACACGGTGGCGCAGTCGTTAGATCTGTCACATCTAAGTGAGAAGGTTACAGGATGGCCTCCCACCAGACTGAGGCCTGTGGAGTTTGCATGTTCTCTCCATGCACATGTGGCGTTTCCCCGGGTACTCTGGTTTTCTCCCATGAACTAAAATCATGTAAATTAGGTCAATTGTTAACGTTGGATTGTCCCTAACAGTGGATGAGAGTGAATTGTTGTTTGTCTCGTTTGTCTCTGTGTCCTTGTGATGGACTGGAGACCTGTCCACCTTGTACAGTGTCTTGATTATTTTTTTTTGTATTTTTGCTGCATGCTTTGGTATTTCTTCTTGTTTCTTTTTTTGGCGAGTTGAGACGGTTCTTCTCGTCCTCAGCATTTCATTGCATTGTTGACCTTGTGTTGATTTTTGCATATGACAAATAAACCAAACCTGAACCTGTGTACCCGGCCTCTCGGACAGTGGCCGCTGGAGGGAGACATTAGCTCTCAGCAACCCAGTAAAGACAAGTGGGTAAAGAAAATAAACAGGTAGAATTTCTAGGATGGATTGGTAATTTTTGAAATGATGTTCCATTAAATACTTATCAAAAGATAGTATTTTATCAGACGTGAGATTGTTGGAGTTCTGCCCTGCCAGCTCCCTGCAGCCACATCTGAGCACCAATCAGCAGCACCTGATGATCATCGACTTGATGAGCAAGAGGAGCATTAAAGGCTGCAGAGGACAGTCAGCGGGCGCTGGAGCATTACAGCATTATGGTAGTTCTGTTTTAGCCTTTTACCTGTGAGTTAAACTAAATAATAAATTGTATATTTATCCATACTTCCAGAGGATAACCCCTAGATTCTCCTCTGTGGACCTCGAGCTCTTCTGTGTCTCCTCAGCTGCCTCCACACCTTCCTGCCACTTGTCTGCCTTCTTGGCCCTGGACCCATTAGGTCAGCTCTCCACACAACTGACTCCTACCTCCACAGGTTCCAGCTCCCTCCCTGGCACAATCAATGATTGTTCCACTCTGTAAATAAACTCATTCCAGTCTTGGTATCTGTTCTCTTCAGTCCTTGTATCAGGGAACAGCTGTGATCATGTCAGAGATAAGTCGTAGTGTTGACTGTGGAGAAAAAGACAAAAGTCTCTCTTTAGGCTAGGCTAATAACTTTTCAAACAAGGGCCCATTTGTTATTTTGTTGTTGTTGTTTTTTTTTACTTTCAAATCAGGTCTTTCTCTAAAATGCCACACAGTGGTGAAAAACACTACACGACATAACATTACACCTCTACACTGTCTCAGGACACCTCTTGTTTATTTGCAGCTGTTTTCTCTCACACACATTCTCTGCATCGACCAACTAAACAAAATGTAAAACTGTAGGGGTTTGATCTGTCCCACTCTGGGCCCTTGAGCAAGGCCCTTAACCCCCACCATGTGCACCCCCAGGCGCCCCAGATGGCAGCTCTGTGCTCCACACAGAGGGCTGTGGTAGCTCGGTGGTTGTGTCAGGAAGGACATCCTGTATATAAACAATCGTCAAGTCTTCATGTCAGTTAGTTTGCTGTGGTGACTCCTGAAGAAGGGAGCAGCCGAAAGAAGAAGAAAAAAGCTTTTCACACCCATATGCTGTTTTTGAGAAATAATTACTTTATAGGCTCAAAAAACAATATAAAAATATAAGATAAATAAAGCAGACTTTTACCTCTACACACGCTGTACATTATGACCAATGCCACAGCTGATAAGATACTAATTAATCAACAAAGTTAAGTCAGGTCCTCTGGATGGTTGTTTTCTATTATGGAATGTTTCATCTTTCATCCAAAGGACTTCATCAGTCCGAGGAGCCACAACAAACTCTGTCCCACATGCAGCACACTCACATAGTAAGCCAACCAGTTTGATAGTGACAAGATGGTATCTGGTGTCCACCCTCTCCCCCATTGACTCCTCTGAGGCAATCATGGCCAAAGTGGTTCAAAACATCGAAGTTCATGCTCAATAATCCAGGTAAAAAATCCAACAAAGTCAGATCCTCTGGGCGGTTTATTTTATTTTTTTCTACTAATTACTAATTATACAATGCTAATTATTGATAACTATCTGACATAGTTTCAAACATGACTAAACTTTCCAATCAAAGTGTAGATCCTTCCACTTCATAAGCTTAAAGATGACACATCACTGATACAATTAAAACCACATCACTGGACTGGTGAGCTACAGCAGCTGTGGTTACCTTAAACTGATGCAAAGATGCAAAACACTCGTTTTAAAGTTTTTACTAACTCTGCTTCTTTCACGGCCATGGTGGTCTAGAGGCAATGCAGCCGACCTGGGACCAGAAAGCTGCAGCTCAACTACCCGCCGCCATGCCTACATGCCACGGTGTCTCTGAGCAACACACCCAATCCCTAATTTTTATTATTTATTTTTTTTTTCATTTAGCCTTTATTTATACAGGTTAGTCTCATTGAGCCACGAGAACTCATTTTCAAGAGAGATCTGTTTTTTAGGGAGCACATGGTGGGGGTTAAGGGCCTTGCTCATGGGCCCAGAGTGGGGCGAATGAGGGTGGGGGCAAGTGTGGGTGTTTCACCTACCCCACCCACAATTTTGATGTTGTCGGGGCCGGGGCGTGAACCAGCGATCTTCGGATCACAAGCCCACCTCTCTAACCTCTGCGCCACCACTCCCCCGGGTGTGCTCCCGGGTGCCCACATAGCTGCCCACGGCTCCACCTGGGTGTCTTCAAATGTTCAAAAAACATTTTGGGGTTAGGGATTAGGTTTAGGAGTGAACTGAGTTTAGGGTTAGAGTTAAGCACGTACTGGTAGTACTTGTGTTTTGGTAAAGGTTAGGGTGCAGACATTAATGGAATATGAATGGAAGGAATGCACCATCCAGATAAGGATAGAAAAATAAATGTGTGAGAGAGACCTAATAAATAGGTGTGTTTAAAAAACACTGCCTTCAAAGCATCTAATTACAGCTGTGTCAAGAGGAGGAGAGTTGCTGCTGCATAAAAAAGATTAGAGAATAACCTGCATGGCTTATTTCATCATGCAGTTAAGATGGAGGAAATGTAACCTCTGGAATACAGTGTGTAAAAGTCTGATCAGGTCCAATAACTCCCCACACCGCCAAACAAAGAGCTGACACACTGAATGATTTAAATATTAGCAGCTGAAAACATTCTAGAGTGTCGTTCAACTTATTAAAAGTCAAACTCAAAACTCTTTTCAAGGTTTTTAAGCATCTGAACACGATATTAAAAAATGCTCTCTATAAGAATATTTTCTTTCTTATTACATGAAATTAGATGTTTTTAGTTTTTCTAAATCAAAATTACATATTCTGCTATAACCTCCACACAAGATGAGAAAATACTTTACAACAAAGGACTTATCATAAGTAGTTCAGGTTAGGTGGGTCTTAGTTAAAATAGTTATGAAGAGGATATTTGACCTGTTTTAGATAGCTGTTGAGCAGCAGCACTTTGGACAGGCTGAATGAATCAACAGCTAGTCTGAGCACAGCCAAGACCAAACTGCAGTTTAAAACATCTGATATCTAAAAGTTCACAACAGTTCCAGTGCAAAAATAATAATATTACATTTACATTATTGTTAGTTTCACATTATTGTCGTATTCAGGCAGAAGTATAAACATTTCTGCTGGAGGTGCAGCTGTGCCAGGTGTGCAACAGCTACATCTGCAATATGTGTATTACATAAACCAGATAATTTTATGAAACAAATGTACAATGTAAAATAATAGAAATGTAAAGGTTTATAATACAGTATTTGCTTGAACTGCAATAACACTTACATGTATTGCATATTTAAGACAGTTTGGTCTTGGCCTCACTCAGACCACCTGTCTACAACAGGTAAGATACTACCTGTTAAAACTTTTCCACTTTAAAATATCTGAACTCACTTGTCATTTAAGTGTGTCTTTGCATCCTCTGTAACTGTCCGGGCTAATAAAAGCACTTTTTTTGCCAAATGACTTAAAAAGAAATCTCTGTTCAATATAAATATATCAGAAATATAAATTTTGTATCAGAAAAATGTATCACGAGCACAGCCTACTTAGAGTATTAAATACTTGATCTAAAATTTAACCACTTTTCAAACCTTGAAAGCCTTCATGGACACTGAGCACTTTCGAGGAATCTGTACAGCCATATAAACCGTGCATGCTAAAGTGAAGTAAAGTCTGAAAGTGTTAATGTTTTCTACTTTTCTCTGTCTGACAAAAATTACTGTAGACTGAGCTTAATGAGCACAGTCCACAGGCTATTTAATGATTTCTCACAAATCAGCATCGTGGGAGTTGCTGAGATAATTGTACTGAGCTTAGCAGCAGACAAAAGAAAAGAAAACACACAATGATGCACAAACACACACACAAACACACACACAAACACACACACAAACACACACAAAAACAGTGCCTAGACTGAGCACCCCTCAAATTCAAATGGTAAACCATGAGAAATGCATGCAATTAAACTCCACAGCTCCAATAAATGAAACTGAACAAGACAATAGTGACAAAACTGTACGAAGCAAGTCGGGATGTGGAGTGAAAAGATTGTGCTTTGGATTAATTATTATCTGTTAATCTGACAGATCAAGACAGGCATCAACATTTTAAATATTCTGAGAAAGAAGTTTGCTTTGCAGCTTTAACCTTAAAGAAGCCATGAGCAGCGTTTCTCTGTCCGAGCCACAAGGATGTGTCCTCGGGTATGTCCATGTAGGGAGCTTCCACCACCCGCTCGTAGATCCTGGAAGAAACAAAGTTCCTTCAAATAAAACCTAAAACACGTGGAGGTGTTTCATCAATGCTGGTAAAAAGTAGCATTTCCCCAGCCCTGCCCTCATTAATCCTCCTGTTAACTTGGTCCCTGAGGATGGAGAGCCACGTGCTTTTTGTGGTACACACGGTGATCCCGTCTGCTCCTTTCATGGTGCCAAGGAAAATCATGACACGCACAAACCGTGTTACCAAGATGTTTCCTTATAATACATTTGCAAATTTAAACTTTTAGGTAAAAGAAAGTGATGCATGGTATTTAAATTTGGTGATCAATTTAGAAGTCAGAATCAGTTGTAATAATAATTTAAGTATCTCTATACAACCTGCGTTCAATAAAAGTATTGAGTTCTTTCATGGTTATGAAACCCAAAAATGGACATGCAGAAAAATATAATGGTAGCAATACATCATACAGCCCAGTATGTGCTGGGTACTTACCAGGCATGTTTCTGATACGTAACGGGTATGTACACAGGAAAGAGCCTATATGTACCTGGTATGTACAGGTAGGTATCAGATATGTAATAGAGTGAGTACCAGGTACCTATCCTATGTGAAACGGGTAAGTATCACGCAAGTGCAATGTAAGTAACTGGTCTAGAGTCTGGATCTGTACACGGTAACAGGGTCTGTAACTGGTCTCTCTTGTACCATATTTTTCAGACTATAAGGTGCACTTAAAATTATTTAATTTTCTCAAAAATCAAAAGTGAGCCTTATGTATTAATTCTGGTTGTGCTTACTGACCTCGATTTTATGTGGTACAACTAAACAATGATGAGAGTTATTGTGAATGAGTTGAATAAAATGTAACTTAACTGACTGCTTTGTTTGCTTAATGCGCCTTATTGTCCGAAAAATACAGTAAATGAGTTCTCAAAGTTCAATGAGACTAACCTGTATAAATAAAGTTTGAATGAATAAAAAGTAACAAGTAAGTAACAACAAAGTACGTGGTAATTACAGGTAGATACCTAGTACTAGGTCGGTTACATTGATTTGTAAATTGCAAATTAATATAAATACATTAAAAATACATATAAACATCACAATACTGTTTTGAAAAAAAAAAAAAAAAAAAAGTTGACATTTTTGCCATGTTACCCACACCCACATCCAATAATTACTTTCCACAAGTTTTGTTCAGTTTCTCTTCTCAGACAAATAGATGAACACACACACACACAGAGGCAGGCTGCATCGCCCAGCCTTCACTTTTAGCTCCTGACTACTGCAAACTGGAAAATTCCTACAAAACAATGCAGCAGCTGTGTCTCCAGTACTGTACCTGTTGCAGTCAACATGTAGTATGACGTGAGAGGCGCTGACGGCCACTGAAATCTTGTGCCACTGGTCATCAGCCAAGCTGTAAGGGAACACCTCAGTGTGGTCCTGGTGGCTTCTGGTACGATAATGAAGGCGCACCTCGCTGCGCTGTCCACTGCTCTCCAGCTCCAGGAACCTGAAGAAAAGAAGCAGCAGGAACTAGCTTTGGTAGCTTCCACAAGATGATCCCTGAAATTCACCCAGCCTTTTGATGCCCAAGTCAAAATAATAATAAAAAGTTAGCATTTCTTTTCTTTGTATGTATAATCAAAGCATCTAAACTTCAGAGTTGTCAGCACAACACTTTCATCACTGTCAGTCTGCCGACTCACATCCCCCTGACTCATCTACATTAAAGGTAAAACCTAATGGTGCTACGTGTGAGTCCAACACACAATAAACCACAAGTAATGACTGGAGTTTTAGTATTCTAAGAGAATCCTCTGCTCCACAGCGCTGAGATTTACCCAGCACACAACGCTAATGAAAAGAGCTGCCAGCACACACTCACCTCTGCTTTTAAAGCAAGACTTATTTAAAGCAGAGTTATTTGCTGGAAACATCATTCAAAAGAAAAATAGACGCTCGAGCGAGTGTAGCAATGGAACTGATTTATCTGCGGACCACATCTAATACATTAACTCTCCCCTGGCCATGCATGCACATTAATCCCAGCTTCATAAATGCACTCGCTTACACTTCTGATGCAGAATTAGTCCTTGTCACATTTCCAAATGAAACCACGGAGCGACGCTTTGTAGAATCTGAATGGCTGCGAAAGCTAATCAGTAGTGAGGAAAGTCATTAACATCCCTGTGAGCTCTCTGCTCAGGACTGTTTAATGTACAAACTGTTCAATCAGCGCATTATGGGGAACTCAGATTGCTGTTCTGATCATCCAATGGCTCAGCTACCAAAAACTAATGGAAACATTAGCATACTGAGTGCAGATCGTGTCTCATCAGTTTTCAGCTCACAGTTACAAACTGCACGCTTGCATCATTGATGGACTCTGCAGAACACGCTGGCATTTAGGATGATTTGCTTTGTTTATTCAACTGGTGTGTAAAACATTTAAGTGTTCATCAAACACAAACATTCCCTCAGCTGATATGTTGCGCTAAATTTAGAATACAACTGTATTTATAGCCTATTAGAGGGATTATACCTGGATAACAGTACAGCAAGTGGCATTTTGACACAGAAAACTCTCACAGTAATTAAAAAAACTAAAATACACTTTTTTATTGATTTTGGTGGCATTCCTCACACATAAAACAGTTACATATAACTAATGAACCCATTGTTCACATGCAATGCAATGATTTAAAACAAATTAACTAAACGTACCTGTGCTCAGAATGATGGATGGAAAAGATGACTCCAGAGTTGAGATGATCCTGTTTGAGTGTTGCCAGCACAGTGAACTCATTCTTGCCTTTGAGTTTCTGGACCATTCGCTTGGAGACCTCAGCAGGTGTTTTCACTTCCCTGGAGGTTCCTAGAATGACAGCAGAGATATCAGAAACTCTTTACACCATTAAAAGCTGCATCGCTCAATGGGAAGGTTGTTACATCAAGTTCAAGGATTCAAGGGTTCAAGTTTCTTTATTGTCATTCACATTGCATGTGGTACATGAGGTGGAACAAAACTGTGTACACAGGGTCCCAGTTACATTAATCAATAGCAAAATATATAAAGTACAAAAAAAAACAGTAAAAAAGGATCTAAGATATAAACAAAGATATACGCTAAACAAACATCCAACAGTACACTAAAAGAGCTAAGATATATGTCAGTCACTAATAGTGCAGAATAATACACAGAACAGCAGCAGCACGGTTCTCATAGGTTCTGTTCAGCTATAATTTACACGTTTAATGTGAGCACTAACATAAACTGAACTAACATAAACTAAACTAACATAAATTAAACTAACATAAACTGAACTAACATAAACT